TCAATATACCACGTAGATTATATGAAAATTGATTTACGTACACCCTACCCTTAAATGCTTTTGAGTATATTCTGCAGTTCATCAGATGCGACTAATATATTTAAAGAATTTTTGGCTGATTTTTGCAAAATTTTCTTTCCTGTAAAAATATAACTTAAGCAATTTATAAATTAATTTTAGCAAAGAAATACTTTATTAACGTGAAATTTATAGAATTAATAAAATAATATGTTAAATTATAAAACTTACTCAAGAAGATGTTTCAGATTGATTACTAATGAGAATAAAGCTGTTATTTCAAGTTGGATTGATAAAAAGGATAAAGATAACTATACTAGTATAACCGATTCCTATAAAATTAAACTTTTATTATGTGGAAGCAGAGATGGATTTGATCTTAAAAAATTTCATAGATTAAGTGATTTTCAAGGTTCAACAATTGTAAAACTTAAAACTATCCAAGGTGATTTGATAGGTAGATACAATCCTACAAGCTAGAATAGTTTTACTAAAAAAATTGAATTAAAAATTGATGATTTTATTCAACATTATTTTGTATTAAAGAAACCATTTTTAATGGAGCTTCAAATAGTTTTATTTTTTCATTTACTGATCAATCAAATCCAGTACTGAGTAGGATAAGAACTGAAAGAACAAATAAGGCTATTATGTGGGCCTTCTTTCAGGGTATCATATTTGAGGATAAAAGAGTAGAATTTTGGTATAAAGCTCGTAAAAGTAATATATTTAATTCAAACGAATTAATTGCTAAAGAATATGGACCTTATTTTGAAATATTTGATTTGCACAAGAAAGATTCAAATTATTGGATTAGTGACTGAAGAGTTTATAAACATAGAATTTCTAATTCAAACAAATTAATTGCTGAAGAAATATGAAGTATTAGCATTCAATAATTATTATTCAATAATTAATATATTTCTAAAAATTTTGGAAATAATCAAAATATTTGCATTTTATTTTATAATTATATTTTTAATTTATACAATGATTATTTATTATTTATTAAACTGATTTTTTTTAATTTTATAATAAATATTTATTGTTTAGTAAAGCAATTTTTTTAAATTTAATTATGTTTATTTATTATTTATCTAGTATTGTTTTTTTTTTAATTTGCCAATTTGCTTAATAATTTTTATAGTGGGTTGTATAGTAACACATGTTTGTGTTATAACTACCATTTTTTATATATCTATATATTTACCAACTAGCATTTGACTCATGGCTTTGCCACGAAAATTTATAAAAGTTTAATTTTGTAAAATTACATATAAGAATATTATATAATAAAACTAAGATATAAATTACTATGATCATATACTAATTTAATACAGTACAGATAAAAGTTTACACAAGTAATTGCTTGTTTTAAAACTTAATGAATAACTAAATAACAAATTAAATAAATGTTGACAAATATTTATATTTTAGCAAAATTTCTAATTGGATTGTTAAATAAATTATAATGATTCATAACATTTAATTCTGTTCTTTATGCAATACTGTATAAGCACAAAATAACTTGCAGAGATGTAATTTTGAGCTTTGGCCTAATTAAGCACAATTTGATTTATTATTCAAAATAATGCCTCTGTATATTTCACATTTATATGGGTAGTTTACAAAAAATTAAAATATATAATTATATTTTATTGTAAAATTGTTATAGTCTAAGCAAAAAAGAGTTATTTTAATGCCAACTAAGATAATTTTATATTTTTTCAATGCTTAATTGCTTAGTTATAAATATTTTCTATTATATATTTTTTCAAATCTATTTCTTTTCATTGAAATTTCTTAAGAATAATTAACTACTTTTTAACTAGGCTATATCTTAATAAAATAAAAATTTCTAGAGCTGCAATGTATTATTTTTTAATACTAATAGCAAATTACGCATCTCTTTTTTTAAACTTCTAGTATTTATTATTTATTTTTTTCTATTATTAAGATGGGATTATCCTCTAGTCTCTATTAAGTATATATGTATATACTATATGATACATGTATACTATTTATTATAGATCTAATAGCTCAAACTATTTTATCTGCGATCAAACCTACCAGAGTAGCATGCATCTCACTTACATCTTATCTGGTTATTTGTATTACTTAACTAGATATGCTATTCTTAACTTTATATATATATCCTTTAATTCTCTTATACTATTAACTCTATAATTTCAATATGGTTCTAGTGTGGTATTTATTACATATTCTATAGGAAGACACTAGGCAAGTATAGCTTTATAGTTACTTCTAGTTTAGTATGTAGAGTACATGTTGTGCTGTCACTATCAAGTTCATATTTTAAGATATTTTTTATAATGCTGCTATATGGTCTGTTGGGATGACAGTCACGAAGAACTTTTCTTGAATTTATATATATAATATCCTGTATTGACTATTAGCATGGTAATCAAGACAGGGTCAAAGGTTTTTTTCAGATAGAACTGTCAGGTTGTTTTTATCTGCCTTGCAGGATAGACAATAGTATTTAGAAGATAATCTGGTATAGCTTGATCGATACTCTCAAATTTGTTGTGAGCAGGTATTGCATGAAGGCAGAAGTGACAGTCACTCATATTTGATTTCATTTATTTAGTAACATTCTCTTGATGAAGGACAAAAAGAAAATTAAAAATTGCAAATTTTTGGTAAATATATGCATTCTAGATTAAAATAAAAAGCTGATATTACTATTCACATATAAAATTTTTTTTTTGGCATTTAAGCTGTGGGCAATTTTCTTTATTATTGTTATTAATTTTTTTAGTTACAGTTGCACATGCATTATTTTACTGTTATATTTACATTTATTATACAATGAGATGGTGCTCGCCAAAATCAAATAAAAATTTGACGATCAAATACTTAATAAATATTTGACGATCATAATTTTCAAATCGGG